GTTAGAACTGCCTCGGTAATGGTGGACTGCCTCAGTAATGGTGGACTGCCTCAGTAGTGGTGGACAACCTTCCCCCCACGGAGCTTGAACATCCAGGGTTGAGCTCAAACTGCTGTGCTGGCTGTGAAACTCTCAAGCCAGTGTGTTTCAGATTGCTGTGTTTGTGGGGTTGGGACCTGCTGAGCCAGATCACCTGGCACCCTACCTTCAGCTCCCTGTTTTTCAGGGGAATGTGTGGTTCTGTCTCAGAGGCATTCCAGGCACCAGTTAAAATGACCACCCATATTTTTATGGATTTTCATGATGGAAACCGGCAGTGCTTGTCTGGCGGAAATCTCCTGGTCTGTGGCCCCATGAAGACCGCGTGAGAAGCACAGTATCTGAACTGGAGTGCTGGAGTGGCTGGAAAAGCCCTGATGGCCTCCATTGAGTACAAGGGTGGCATCCTCTGGTGCAGTGCACTTCCCGGGTGAGGTAGCACCTCACCCTGCCTCTGCTCTCCCTCCTTGGGCTACATCCACTGTCCAACCAGTCCCATTGAGATGCACCTGGTACCGTAGTTGGAAATGCGGCAATCACTTGCCCTCTGCATCACTCTCACTAAGAACTGCGCTCCAGAGCTGTTCCTAGTCAGCCATCTTGACTTTATCCTCTCAGTTTGCTTTCTTATATTATCTTCTTTGATAGAAACTTTATGATTTTCAAGTTTCTCAGGGGTACTCCCTTTCTTTTTTAAGATCTTGTGTTTTCTTATTTTACAGATATTTATATTTAGGCTACGTCACCCTTCTCATCAGTTTTGTTTTCCCTTAAAGCACCATGATGCTTAGCCATTTTTTTTTAACCCAAGCCAGCTTATAGCTACCAGGGAATGACAACCTTAGTGTTGAGTCCTGACTCACTCTCCTCTGTTGTGATTGTACCCAGAGAACTAAGAGCATACTGAGAACCCAGAGAATTAAGAGCATGCTTCCCTCTTAATGAGGAGGAAGAGGAGACTAGAGTTAGCTGAATGGTGGAGCTGTGGTGGAGACTTCTGATGTGGGTGGAAAGGAGAACACAAACAAGTAGTAGTGTAAACTTCTTGGGGAGTAGCAGTGAGTGTTTCAGCCATCTCCTGATGACAAACAGTAGTGGCCATGAAGCTGTGAGAATGGCTGAGTCCTATTTCATGGATATGAAGCAGATGCAGAAATACCATGGAGCTGTTGCTCTCTTTACATTGTTGATCAGATTAGTTATGGTGCCTCTATATATTGAGTGCAATTAGCTGTTTGTTTCTCTTCCTCCAAGCTGCAAGTACCACCTTTGGCAACATTTCTCCAGATATTTGACCAGGGGACACTGCTGTGCCTTATAATGAACCAAGAGCACACCAGTGGGAGCTGCTAAGCTATAACACACACTTGCAATAAGGTTATCGAAAAAATATCCAATATTAGAAACACATACTGTAAATGGAGCAAAAAAACCCACATTTACCAAAGGTAATTATATTAATGCCTGACAAAATGAAGGGTTCTTTGTTAAGTGTTGTTTTTGAGTCAATACTCAGATCAAATGTCTTGAGCTTGCACAATTATCAAAAATTTAGTTATATGTCATACCACATCTTGAAGAGGCAGATTGTCATATAACAAAAGAACCATTTAATATTTATATATATTTACATATACATACACATGTACTTGTAAATATGAATTATATGTATTTAAATGTTTATACATTGTCAGCATTAACTTTTTACAAGCAATTCCTATTAGCGTTTCATAGAACACCAGCTTCTCAGGAAACATATCATCAGCCATGCTGATACTAAGAAATAGGCAATTGTGTTTATGCTGTTTTCTTGTCTTTATGATACTAGATAAACTTATAGTTGAATAAAATTACATGTTGGAGTATGAGTTTGAAAAATTACTTGGTTAAGACGGCCTGAGATCTAGCCACAGCTCTGCCAGAGGTCAGTGAGAAATTCAATGGGCTCTGTCAATGTACTTGTCTGTCCTCCTGACTTACCTTTCTGGCATAAATTTCCCTAGCAGTGTCCCTTGCTCAAAGGGGCAGTCCCAGGCTGTTCTTTGCTTAGAGATGTCATCTCTTTGCTTAGAGATGACCAGAAATGACTTCATGGCCTAATGGTAGACAGCAGTGTTCTGGTCTACCCACAGCATTGTGGTCTCACATGGAAGAGATGAGGCATGTTCATCGATTCATCAGATTACTCTTTTGATAGTGGAAATTGGAATTAAAGAAAGATTTCTTTTTGGAGTAGGACAGAAAGAAACAAATATGCAGAATGTAGGTAAGTATATCTTATGTAAAGATATACTTATGTAAAGATATATCTTATGTAAAAATCACTTGTCTTGACTGATTTTTACTGGTTCCCATTTAGGAATCTTACCTTAGTCTATTTTTTAAAATAATCAAATTAAATAGTCCTTACCTTTCTTCTTTATTGCTGTGTGAATTTTTTAAAAATACTTTTTCTTAATAGCCATATGTTTGTCTAGGATATTTTGTATGTTGAGATTATTTTAAGGGAGACAATTTGCACCCTTAATATAAAATTATTGGGTAAAAACAAGCCACCATAAAGCTGGAAACTTTAAATTGTACCCAGTTTTTTTTTTAGTAGAAACCAATAGTCAATAAATGTGCATTGTGGTTATTATTCCTTTATAGTTTTCCACCAGCTCTTCTTATTGATTCAAAAACATTTCCAGAAATTATTTTTTAGATCTACATTTTGGAGTGATCACCAAAGGAATTGAAGAGATCATCTGTCAACCATCAACTCACTGCTGACCCTAGACAGGTCTCTCTGCCATTGTGTAATTCCCTTGAGGGAGGGAGCCTAGAGAAGAAAAATAATCAAAGAAACAAATCAAGCATGGATTTAAAAGAACAGCTTTCTATCATCTTTCTTCTTTCTCTTCTTCTTTTTTTTTTCCAAACACAGGAGTGATTCAGTCACAGCCTGCCCTAATGGTATTTTATTGAGTTTCTAACTGCCAAGTCATGTCTGAGCTGCCAATTTAAGTTTCAAACTTTTAGAAGAAGAACTGTTCCTTATCAAGCCATTTGTTTCTATTCAATTTTACAAAATAAAGAGATCACTTAAAGAACTCTGAGGAAAAGGATATTTGAGTTTTAGGGCCCAAACCCCTTGGCTTAACTTTCTACCATGTTGTCCATTAATTAACTGAACAGGGGAAGTTTTTCACCACAGCACCAAAAGCTTGTATTAAGAATTGAGCAGATGTGCGGTTCAGATAGGAGTTTTTATGGACAACAATATAGGAGAAACAGGATTAAGAAATAGCATTGGCCTATTTCCTAAAGCTACAGTTTCATGTCTGAAGTAGCACAGCTTTGATGTTCTGTTTGTCACTCTGTGCTGTGGGACTTTGAAAGTAAGAAAAACTGTTGATGTATTGTGGCAGTGATTCTTAAACCTTTGCATGCATCTGAATCACCTGAAGGGCTTGCTAAAACACACCTGCTGGGTCCTTCTTCCAGAGCTTCTGATGCAGTGGGGTGGACATGAGAATTGGCATCTAACAAGTTCTCAAATAATTCTGTCACTACCAGTTTGAGGATGAAGTTTTGAGAACTACTTTATCACAAGGTTCCTCTTTTCAATGGTGGTTGAGATGAAATTAAGGGTGCTATTCTGAACTACCTAAAATTAGGGAGTTAACTGAAGTTAGTGTTTCTCAGTCTTGGGTATCTTTTACGAACCAGCTGGGGAACATTGTGAAACAATCTGATGTCAATATCTCTGAGATAGAAGTAGGATGTTGATAATTTTTGAAAGATCCCAAAGTGTTTCCAGTGTGGACACAGAGTTGAGAACTTTGTCATTTTCTAATTAGATATGAAAGATTCTCACCTACTTCACCTGAACATTGTTGGTGGTACCTAGGCAACCTCTGAGAGGCAAAAGAGGAGAACTAGTGACAGATCCTGTCACAGTAACTTCTTTTTTTTTTTTTTTTTTTTTTTTGCTACGGAGTTTCGCTCTTGTTACCCAGGCTGGAGTGCAATGGCGCGATCTCGGCTCACCGCAACCTCCGCCTCCTGGGTTCAGGCAATTCTCCTGCCTCAGCCTCCTGAGTAGCTGGGATTACAGGCACACGCCACCATGCCCAGCTGAATTTTTGTATTTTTAGTAGAGACAGGGTTTCACCATGTTGACCAGGACGGTCTTGATCTCTTGACCTCGTAATCCACCCGCCTCGGCCTCCCAAAGTGCCGGGATTACAGGCTTGAGCCACCACGCCCGGCCCACAGTAACTTCTAATGCAAGTCTTTGAGTAAGTATAACTTGATAAATCACTAGTCTCTCACACACCTTTGTCATGCAGATTGGAAACCAATGAAATATTTTTTTCAACATATGGAACTTTGGTGGAGTCTTTTCCTATTCAGAGTGAAAAGATGGCATTGTACACCTAATAAGAAACCACATTTTTCTAAGGCCTTCTATTTTTGGGGGGAATATGCTAGGCATTCTACTATATAGCATATCCTCCAGCATGTGAACTGGGAGATTGACTTGTACACAAGGAGAGAAATTTGAGAACTCTTGCTATACTTCTAATAAGCTTGGCCAAATTGCATTCTGCTCAAGAATGAGGCAACTGAGAAAATCAGATCAAAGGTCATAAAACAGTCTGTAGCCCAAGAGAAGAGCATTTCTCTAAGTGTTCAATAGCACATATTTCCTGCCAAATAGAATTACTAAATGACAAGGAAAGAAAAAAACATTTAGGATACCTGCCTCATGGCCTAATTTGTTTTAGGAAAACATTATTTGTGACAATAAATAAGTCAGGATTAGTAGAGACTAGCTTGTGATAAGAAAATGGAAGAAACCTAATGGTTCCAGAAGCAATAATAGAAAAGATGTATTGCAGCAAATTGAATTATGTACACAATATATCGATTTTAATAAATGAGCATTAGAAGAATAACAAAAATATGTTAGTTTAGGCTTTGTGCAGTGGCAGTGTTGTAATTAATGAGGTTCTTCCAAGATGTGATTATTGCTAATTAAAAACATTCCCCAATACCCTGCTGTAATGACTTGCATTAGAGTGGCACTGGCAATTTTGACAGTATCTACAGAGATGGAATTTAAAAAAAGAAAAAAGAGGAGGATTTATTTTTGACCCTACTGTGCAAATATTGTAATTGATGTATCCTGCACTCTTCCACTTGTCTTTGAGCCAAGCTTGGATGCTTGGGACCACAGGGAAATGCTGTGGTTGGAAAACACTTGATTATTAACCAGGTCACCTGTCTCAAGTTCCTATTTGAGTTTCTGCTTTGTTGGCAAGATGGAACTCTCTGTTTTTTTTTTTTTTAAATTTTATTTTTGGCCTTATTCCTGGGAAATTTCAACATGCCATTCAAATCTCCCAGGTACTTGCTATGAGCCCTAACCCCTAATCCAGTCCCTCTTAGTGTTGAGAGATCCCACAATCACCAAGAGAAATAGAAATTTCCAAAATGAGCCAGTCAAATTAATAATTATCACAAGTAATTCCAAAGGGGAGAGAAATATTTACATAGGTGTCAATGCCCTTCCTCTTTGTCTCACAAAAGAGAAGGTTGCCCATACTACTATGCTTCTGGGATAGGGGAGCCACCAAAGAAAAGAGCCCTGGAGTCTTAGTACCAGTGAATTACACACACACAGATCTGTGGCCTCTTCTTCCTATTATTGTTGGGGATGCGGTGGGGCCCCAGTAGGAAGCAGGTAATCAAGAAGTAGGCACGGATCTTCCTAAGAACCACTAGAACATCATCCTCAACTGAATATATAGGCAGATTTCCACAGTGGTTTAAGCACTTGAAGGCTAAGTCTGTATTAAAATGTGCCCCACAAGATACAGGCCTTTGGAAGTGCTCTGTGTGGATGTACCCTCACCTTCTAACATCAACTTCTAAATTTCTCTCCTTATCCTGCTCTGCCTTAAAAGTACCAATTCCCATTTCCTGGAATACTCATTAATGTAAGAGATGGAGATTCTGGCCATCTTTTTTCCCTGTGCCTTGCAAACTTGATCATCTTTGGCTTAAAAAGAATGATATGGAAGGCTTTCTTTGTGTCATGCTTCTACTGATTGTCAGATCAGAAGGCTCTTACATCATGAGGTAGCAGAATATAGCACCAATTCCATTCGATTTCCTCCCCCGGGGGTGGCATCAGAAACTTTTCTTTGATTAGGGCAAACACAGCTTATCAACTTGAATATATTAAGTTTCTTTGATTTAAAGCAACTGACACCAGTCAGGCTTGGAAAGGATAGAAACCAGGCAGCTCTAAGTCACCTTTTTGACAGAAACTTCTAAATTGTCTCACCTAGGTACTTTCACAGAATAAATGATTTCTCACCATTTTCTCTCATTGTTGTGTTACCTCTCAGAGGGTCGAAACTCCCTTTGCAGAAGCTATAACTGAGACAATTATTACAGTGAAAGAGATCAGACCTAACTGACTTAATCTTGCTTCTAACCTTTATGCTGTCCTTGTTCATTTCTGGGTGAAGGCTGAACTAACTCTGGGAGGAACTTAGTTTATGGTTTAGCTTTGAAACAAGGATGGTAACAGCCCTTTCCCAAAACAGACTCCCTTCCTACCTGGGGACTAGACTGCCTTTGCAGGACTAACAAATTAGCCACAAGATTAGAAATCATGGTGTAGGAGTCATGCAGCTGGAGGCTAAACCTACTCCAGTTGTTCCTGGGGATAGCATCACTATTGTAAACCCTAATATCAGCACTTGAGATGTTTTGCAGAACCTGCTTTTGATGGATCAGCTGGTACCACCTAAATTGATAAACTGGCTCATCTGGTCTTGTGGATCCCCCCCTCCCCACCCAGAAAATGACTCGGTGCAAGAGTACAGCTTCAACTCCCTATGATTTCATCTCCAACCTAACAATCAGAACTCCCAACTCACTGGCCCCCTTAACCACCAAATTATCCTTAAAAACTCAGATCCCTGAATGCTCGGGAAGAATGATTTGAGTAATAATAAATCTCCAGTCTTTGGCACAGCCCACTCTGCATGGATTACTCTTTCTCTATCGTAATTCCCCTGTCTTGATAAATTGGCTCTGTCTAGGCAACAGGCTAGGTAAACCCATTGGCTGGTTACAGGGTCCACATCTAGGGAAAGAAAGAGTGATCAATTGGCTGAACTTGAATCATGTGGCTACTGTCAATCCAGGCAGCAAGAAGAAAAGATCTCACAGAAAGAGGTCTAAGACCACTTTAGTCTTATAATGGTAGCTCAAGGCTCTTTGAATATAGAATTTTATCAAGCTTCTGCATGACAGAAATACTTGTCTTCATATAGAAAAATGAAGTGCTTTGGGAAAGAGTAATGGATGCAGTGTAGCCCTAAATTGGCAATTATTTTGTACAAGAACAACTAATTTACTTCCAAAGAGAGCACAGCTCATGTTCATCTGACAATAGTATATTGATTTTATTGTATAATATTGATTCTATTTCTTACAAAACATAAGTCTTTTTTTTTAATTGTACTAAAGAAGTTTTCTCCTTCTTTTTGGCTCCTGTTTCATCACAAAGGGCCCCTTTTTAATCCTTTTATTATCAGTTCAGATCTCTTGCAATATTTCTCACCTCCTAATCCTTTGATGTTCTCACTGGGAGAGATCATAGGTAAAGGACAAGAGTACCAGGGACCGCCTTTGTCCTCAGAGCAAGGTGATCTTCTGAGGACTGAACCATTCATGCCAATGGTGTCCTTTTATTGCTTATAGGGATGTGTGTATTCATTTCTCAACCATCTAAAAGGTTTTCTCTTCCCAGTAGCCCTTTGTCTATATTGGTGGTCTTTCCCACCCATCTTCAGACTACTTTATTCTCTGAATTGTTAATACATTAGAACCATGTCATTCTGGTGGCAAAAGACTTTCAAAAAATAATACACCTTCCATGAGACCACATATCATTAATTTAAGTAAAAAGAGTAAGCATGTGATTTATTGCCCAAATCAGAACACTTTTGAAAGTAAAAGGAAACAACAGAAATCACATTATGTCATTGGTTTTAAACTAGGATTGCTCACAAAATGTTGAATTTTTTTTGACTTGTGGATATGTAACTTACAAGGTTAAGAAAATTTGATGTATCTAAAACAACAGGTTCTCTCAATTTCTCCTGCACGTTGAACCTTGCCATATCTGATTGTGTTGCTCTAATTTTAGTTGCTTTGTACTTCTTGAATCTGGTAGGATATACATATATTTCAAGCTTGTTATTTTTTCAGCTTTATCCCTCTATCCCACCCTTTCACACCTGTACTTCCCCATCATTTTAATCCTTCACTTGCAAGAGGGTAGAGGGAAAGTTGCAGTAAAATGCACATGAAAGGACATGGGCTGGGCATGGTGGCTTACACCTGTAATCCATGAATTTTGGTAGGGCAAAGTGGGAGAATCATTTGAGGCCAGGAGCTCAAGATCAGCCTGGGAAACAGAGAAACTTTGTCTCTACAAAAATTTAAAAATTAGCTGGGTATGGCAATATGCACTTGTATTCTTAGCTTCTTGGAGTTAGGGGAGTGAAGAAGTGGGAGAAACACCTGGGCCCAGGAGTTCAAGGCTGTAGTGAGCTACAGTGGGGCACTACTCACTGTACCGTAGTTGACAGAGTGACACCTAGCCTAAAAAAAAAAGAAGACGCTTCCAATGTTGTTTAAATTATCAAATGACTACATTGTCTTAAATATAATTTTAATATTTGTTTTACCTAATTTTTCCTTTGATTAGTGGATTAGTCCATTCTCATGCTGTTAATAAAGACACACCCAAGACTGGGTAATTTATAAAGGAAAGAGGTTTAATTTACTCACAGTTCTGCAGGGCTGGGGAGGCCTCAGGAAACTTACAAATACGGTGGAAGGGTAAACAAACATGTTCTTCTTGACGTGTCTGAGCAAAAGGGGGAAAAGCCCCTTATAAGATGATCAGATCTCATGAGAACTCACTATCATGAGAACAGCATGAGGATAACTGTCCCCATGAATAAATTACCTCCTACCAGGTTCCTTCTATGACATGTGGGGATAATGGGAACAATAATTCAAGATGAGATTTGGGTGAGGACACAGCCAAACCATATATCAGTTAGGTAATAGGGCACATTGTACAAATACAAGAGTTGTAAGAAATCTTACTATGTGGGACATTCTCCCTTCTGACACTAGCTCTCCATTCCTTGAGCTCTCTTCTCCAGATTCTTGAGGATCCTTCTGGAGATTTCAGTGCACTTTCAAGAAAATAAGTGTGTTTTACACATATGGCCTCTATTGTATAACAATCCTCTGAACTTTAAACAAATTTAATACATGTTTTTGTAGGTTGTTGCATACCTGCTTTTATAGATTTTTCTCACTAAAAAAAGGGAAGCAATAGCTGTGTTGTACTTGAATATTTGTTAAATCTCAAAACATTTCATTTGATTTCAGATATAACTTTTGCTCCTGAATTGTTAAAAGCAAAGGTTATTATGCTATCCCTGTAATGTTGTAACATTTTGGCACCTTTTGTTCTAACATTTGTGTTTCTGAATAATTTTTATGTGATTATAGTTTGAGATTCAGGGTTTGTCTATATATAAAATCAAAATAAGCACTCAGTTAACAAATATCTTGTTTCTTTGATGCTAGCTAGCCAGCTCTACCTTTTATTTTAAATGATGGACTTTCATTGCCATTGTATAGTCGTGGCCTTATATATTTGTTCAAACACTTTTTCCAGGTTTTCATCCTTCTAAGTAGACTATTTTGTCCTAAACTAATATTCATTTTTTAAAAATTGCATTATAAGTGACATAATTGCTAAAAGAGTAATGCTTTTACTTTGATCCAAATGTTTAATTGTAAGAATATTGGTCAGTAGCCAAAAACCTGTGAAATAGAAAAGCTGGCAAAACAACGTGAGCCTTTTTTCTCTAAAGAAATTATGCAGAAAGTCAATGATAACTGACGTTATTCATAAGACTCTTAACACATTCTGTGGTTTTATTTACATGTATAAAAAACAAAGGACCAGAATTATACTTTCTTTCCTTCCCTCCTTCCCTCCCTCCC